ACAAACCTGTGTATAAAAAGTGATGTGTAGAAGCAAGTTGGAGATGCACCATTATTCCCTAGGGAAATTTCTTAAAAATCCCCAATTTTCAACCCAGGTTTTCTCATTCTGCCAAAGTATGTTGAGACCACAGTCATACCCTCCAACCTACTTGAACCTGGTTGCCATACTTTACTGTGTTATTGCTAACAAACTACATAATGCAAAAAGCACTGACAAAACAGTATTTTTGGTGGACAGAAATAGGCCTGGATTGCCAACATGCGAGCTAAAAAATCTTGAATAAGGGAAGCAAAAACACCTTCAAGAAGCAGGTCATTTTGGGTAACTAAGGGCCAGTTATTTTCCTGTCTGTTTTCCCAAATGCACATCTGTTATTAACACATCTTATGAAAATAAACATGTTGAATTATACTTCCAAAATAGAATGGGCCTTCCACCACTGCCCAGTAAATATCTACTATCCCTAGAAAAGCTCTTCAAAATCCGCAGCAACCATAGGCTTGAATAGAACAATTTCCTCCACACAGAGAGCCGTTCTTTAGAACTCCAGCCATTTGGCAGCGAGCTAGCAAAGCCGCACAAGGAAGGGAATTAGCCATGTCAGCATCTTCTCTGGCTGCAGAGTGCAGCTCAGTCCCTCACCCTGCCAGAAATCAGTCGTAAAAAAACTGCATGGCAGCCTAGAGGAAGGTAATCCTGGCCAGCTGTTTCCATCTGAAGCCAACCACATCAGTAGCACAGCTAGCACTAACATGCATCAATTAAGAAGAGACTCGAGAAGCTGTAAAGAGGAATTCTGATACTAAGGTCAGCTAAATGCCGACAGGATACTGATAATGTTTATATAATTGTGGTTAGCTGATTCAAAGAGATTTTGCAATAAGCTGCTCATAGACAGCAGGACAGCAATGGATGGCAGGCTTAACTACCCAAAACAGTCACATAGGGGATGTGATGCCTATCAGTAAAGTCAAATCAATTAATGTCCCACGAGGAGATAAAAATCCAGAATTTTCTGAGAAAACATTGGCAATGTACTGCATTGTAGGGAAAAAGGTCCTTCAAAACTTGATCAATAACCAGATTTAGTTGCGACTTGAGCAAGAAAGGTTTGGGTTTTTTCCCTCTTAACCATCTCTCCAATAACAAAAAAAACAAACGCATTTAATGCAGCTTTGTACAGATAGATGCGGACTGAGGTACGGTGAAGCGAGTAATAGCTCAAATTTGACTCAGTTAAATGTAAAGGGGGGTGGGACACAAACAAACCCTGTGTCCTGTCTTTTAAGTGGCAACGGTAACTATAAAAGAGATCAGATCTGTTCTTACTTGCTCGGCCTAACTTTTCCTTAATATATACTGAAACAACAAAAGAATTCTGTAACATATTATGCATAGAAATTATGAAGGCTTACAGCTGTCAGCTAAATATTTTTATTCAACCTATAATTAACTATTTCTAGGAGCTTGGCTTTACTACAAAGACTAAACTAAAGAATGGGAATATTACATTTCCTGTGTTATCAATCAGTAATGTGTGTTCAAACTACAGATACTGCACCTTTGAAGCATTCTGTCTTCTTATTCCTGCATTGCTTAAGGGGAGGCTTTTTAAAATTCTACACACTATTACACAATATAGACTACACTACAGGTTTATGCTATACTAACTACACTATTTTGCTAATCCACTCAGATAACAGTTTAATTACTTTAATAATAGTTGTGGTTTAGTGTGGTGCCAAGATTTACCTCTTTGTTTTAGAAAAACAATTAAATTAGGAGCAGTGAGCACAATCTTAAATGAGACATATTATCAAAATAATAATTGAAAGTTTTTGTTTTATTTGGTGTTTTTGCTTTTACTAATTACACAACGATTGTACTCTGTGATAACTGAACATGTTAACTGAGTCATAATGGCCAAATCTTTGGAAGCATCACCATTGAGTCTATTGCCAGTTACACTCAATGTACAGTGTATTTCTTACATTTGCAATTCCTGGGAGAGGTTTGGTTGTATTTGCTTCCCACTGACTCACTACACTTATGTGAATATCTTGCTTACATTTCCACAAGAGCTGGATCCAATCTAGAACTTCATATCAAACAACTTCCACCATCACCTTGAACTCTGTTGGGATGTAGGGAGCTCTTGCTCATGAAAACTGATGAATCTCGGATTCAATTAGTCTATAAAGAGGTATCCCTACCATGTCCTCTGCCTGGCTTCAAACTAACACAGCTAACTATCTCACTCGAACTTAGTGATTCAGATAAAGTACAACTTGATCCAAGACACTCCCAGACTCCATCTTCCATCCTACAACATAATCTAAGATGAGCCACCTCTTTGCTAAAAAATTTCACTTTTCAGATCAAAGAAAATGTTGTCTTCCTATAATCATTCCCTCCTATAATTAGAGAGCTATTTAATTCATGGCAGGACAAAGGGTTTTTTGCAGGCGTTTTGTGGCAACCCCACCCCTCGGCGCTGATCGGTGGGGCAGCTCTGCCCCTTAGCGCTGATTGGCTCTGGGTGGGGGGCGGAGGAAGGAGGAGGGAGCCACCATCTTGATCATTGGATGCCCCTTGTGCCACCCTGCCTCTTGGTGCCGATTGGCAGAGAGGCCCCAGCGGGGGAGGAGGGATGAGAGGGCAGCTGCTCTTCATGCCGCTCCACCAACTGGCTCCTTCCTCTCCCAGCAGCAAGGACCACCGGCTCCCACTGGGGAGCCAGCATTTTATTTTTATTAAGTTTTGCTGTTGTTGATTTCACAGTTCTCACAAAATCTGCAAAACTGCAAATTAAGTCGATCCCTACCTGTAAGTAAAACAATCTGAATAAGCTCCGTTCTAAACATTTTGGGAAGGTGATAATCCCTA